CACAGTCCTCTAATTAGTTAACTCCTGAAGGTCCCCTCCATTCATATGCACCTTAACATTTCTTGTTGAACATGTTAAAGGTTGGCAACAGAAAAAGATGCCATCGCTTTGGGTCAGGAACATGATGCAGATGCAGCTCTAGCCAAACACCATTCCTAACTCTCCCCTACTGCCTCTGCAATACTATGCTGCCCTGTGCAAATTCAAGCCAGACCAAATCCCAGTATGGAGAGGGGAAGTGAACAGGAAACTGCAGCCCTAGCCAGGGAGCTATTAGCAATTGCTAGCTGCTGGTGAAGGGACAATCCATTTTAAGAATGCTGCCCCTAGTTAGCCAATTGTGCTCCAGAAGGCCACACATACAATAATATGTAGGCTGTACAAATTGGTCTTGATGGGTGGTGGTGGTGGGGTTGGACACAAAGTTGGGTGGGTAGGGAAGAGGGGGCGGACCTGGGAAGAATGGGGATGGGTGAATATGATTAAAACACAGTGTACAAAATTCTCAAAGAACTAATGAAAAGAACTCCAGTCATCTGGACACTTTCCTTGCTGACACATGGTTATGTTCAGAAAGCGGGGCGGGGTTTGGGAAGGGGAATACACCAGGTATTTTCATTCTTCTAGTGTGTTTATTCTCAGGATCTCCCAGGTTGTGGCCTCATCAATCCACCTGCAGCCTAGGTAGTTGCTGAAGTCAAACATGGGTCGGAGAGTAGAGCTGGACTATATAGGTCTGAAAGGAGGCTACTCCCTCCCAGCAACATCTTACACTCCTTCCTAGTCTTAGTCTCTTCCAGGGGAATCAGAAATTTGAACAGGATCTTTTCAGACAGTAAATAAGTATACACTCCCTTTTATCATGTGCTTGGACTGTGCCATGAATGCTACATGATCCTTAGAGTAAAAATCTATTAAGAGTGTAAGTACCCTTTGAATAGTTTTGCAAACTGATTCTAAAAAAAACAAGCCCCTCAGTCCTCAGGGGAAACCACCATGGGCTTGGTATGCCTCACCCACAACCTTTTTTGCTATATACCTACATGGAGGCACTCACACAGTGGTTTTTTGATGTTTTATAAAGGGTATGTCATCAAAAGTTTTAGAGGACACATGCATATCACCCTTAAGCATTTTTAATACTTAACAAACCATATCTTTAAAGGTTTTCAAAGTTTCAGCTTAGTCAGAAACCCACATTACAGCTGAGTTCTTTCCCACACATTCTATTTAAACTACAGAACTGCTCTGCCAGGCAAACTTTATCATCCTCTACCTGCAAAGAGAAAATCGAAACTCAGAGAAACCAGAGACTTGTCTAGGGGGTCACAGTAGTGGCAAGGCAGGGTCTTCCACATCTAGGACACTTCGTAGCTCTGTGTTCTCTGATGGCCTTGGCTGGAGATGGGGCAGGTAAAAGAGTGTGTGCTACAGTCAGGATCGGAGCAAGGCATCGGTGTATCCACAGCAAAGCTGAAGTGGCAACTGCCCTACCGTAGTCCAGACTGCCAGGAAAATTACACTGAGCCCCACTGCTTCAATCTCTGCTCACCTCCGGACTCTACTGAGTTCAACAGGCAACAAGATGGTTGGTTTTCTGGCTGCAGTTGTGGGGAGCAATCTAAATATGACTTGTTGGGGTGTTAGAACTTTTAACTTGGGGAGAAAGCAGATTCGTGAAAAGTATCCCTGACTGAACTCCAGGGAAAGAGGCCCAAGTGTCCTTTTCATCTCACAGGGTGGTCTGAGCCTCATTCAGAGCAGTTCATTAGGATGTCCCTGTCCCTCTTGGTATGTCTGTCTTTTAAATTTAACTGTGTTCCTTATTACCACAAAGGAAAAACAAAACATTCTGAAAACACAAAAGCAGTACAGCCTGCTGTATTTAATCTCTGACCAGAATAGCCCTACATGCTATTTTGCTTTCTATGTAAACGTAGCATCGAGTAAACTATGAAACACATAATAGAAACTTTGATGACAATCTGTCCATGTATTTTTACGTTGAGAATACCCAGAATTACCCAGGGTGACTTGTGACTTTTGGGGACCATGCTTCATACAGACAGCTGCACCTGAACTCAGAGTCCTGGCCCCGCAGACCTTGTTATATTTGAGCCTGGCATTCACTACACAACTCTACCCCATGCACCTCCAAACCAGCATTTCTACGTCTCGTATTCAGAAGCTATATTAATATTCTAAGACTTAGCTTTTCCTGTTAATGAATCTCTGAAAAATGGGGCTAGCCTGAGGAAATCAGATGCAATGTAACCTGGTTTCCTAAAGTGGCTTTAAAGAATTTTCCCAAAGGGCAACCTTAGGCCAGGGCTCCAGGACTGTACAGTGAGTTCAAAACAGCCTGGGCAATTCGGTAAGTCTAGTCTCAGGGTCAGGGATACACAGTTCAGCATTGTGTATATGTGTGATACCCCAGGTTCAAACACTAGTACCCCAAGAGTCACCTTTAAATAACATAATAGCCTAAGAGTCAGATCAGCCCTTCAATCATGCCACGCCTTTTTCCTACCCCATGCACCCAGCCCATGGGCACACAGGCCAACCACCTCGGCCTTTGGAACAGATCTTCTACAATCCTTTTTAAAAAGTAAACAGAAATGCTCGGCCACTTTACTACTCATCACTAATTACAAGTCTCTAGCTTGACTTGTAATTAAGGAATCACAAACATCTTTTCTGAAAGACTTATCAGTGAAGAGCTGAAAGCTGACATCAGGTGGCATCGAGTCCACAGCTTCGAAATCAAATCACTTCCACCTAAGCTGAAGCCTCATCCACACTGGTTAGTTTATTATTGTGCAAAATACCTGCAACCGTTTAAAGATGATTTATTTTATGTTTCCAAGGTTCCAGTCCATAACTAGCTGTGTCCCTTGCTATGGGACTGGTGTGGCAAGGCACCGTGTGGTGGTGTGACACTGGGGGAGAGAGTTCCAGGGAGCAAGGAGAGAGGTGCATGGAAGAGATAACTGCCTGTCAAGAGGCTTCGCCGCTCCACCAGTGACCTGCTGGAAGCCCTCAACATCACAATGTTATTAAATTACACACCCCTCCCACCACCACAAATGGATCAACCCACTGATTAGGTCAAAGCTCTCTGGATCCTGTGGCTCTCAGCGGATAGATTCTTCAATCCTTCAACACCTGAGCCTTGGTGAGGGATATTTTGTATTCAAGCCAGAACACTGAGGAAATAGTTAGAATGAAATGTGACAAAGCATTTTGTTAACATTAAGAAACTCCTTTTCCCTTCCCTCTTTCCCATTTGAATGCCCTGGTAAATAAAGGCCCATCTAAATAGGAGGAAGAAAATGGGGAATGGAGACAAGGAGCACACGTACAAGACTCTGCTGCAGCTGTTTTGGGTGTTCTCTCTTTTGAGGGATGGGAGAGAAGAGTCTCGAGTGTTCCTTCTGAAATGGGTTGTATCGGTGTCAGAACTGTGGTTCACTCTTTAAAACCATGAGCAGCATGTGTGCTCTGCAGCTGCACGGGGTGAACACTTAAATTGAAGACCAGCCTTTTGCATTACAGTTTTCAAATTGGATCATCCAGATCTCAGAAGGCACAGGGAACTCCTGCTGTTTTGTTTGAAGTTGGTGCCATGGAACCTAGCAGGCATTTATTTACCTATGCATTTTTTAAAAGAATGTTTTCAGGCAAGTGCACACCTTAAAAAAAAATCTATTATGTTGCAATTAGCTCTTAGGTGCTCACTCTGCCAAGTATGCTTAACGTGGCTTCTGAATCCCAGTTAGAGATGCTGGAAGCAGACCTTTCCCAGCCTGCTACACTCACAAGCTCTCCCATGCAATCCTTCTCTCTGCTCACATTCATAACAAACCCAAAACTGAGGAACAAGCTAGCTGCAATTCAAAGAAACACCTGCTTTGGCATGGGCATCTGAGTGAGAGAAGGGACTTACAGGGTGACATGGAGCTGGGCGCTGAGTTTATCCTACCCAGGTGACTAGCCAACAAAGCTACTGATGTATGGCAAGGGCAGCAGAGCTGTGCATTAAGGGGTGCTCACAACACAGGGTCTACGGAAGTCACTGGTCAGCAAGTTTAACAGACAGTGCTTAAAACAAGAGACGCAGAGGGTGCTGAACACACAGACCCGCCTTCCACCCTGGCCCTGATGGTTTTCATTAGAACTAAAGACAACAACTACAAAAAGATAGGATGTGTAGTCTCTCCAGAAGCAAATGTAGTTCCTGGTGTACTGTATCTAGAAACTGGCATGCCAAAGGATAGGCATGGTAAAACAGCATGGTCCCTGGGTAGTGAAAGGTGACTGGAAATCCCGCATACTTCCTTCCATCAAGGTGTTTTGTTTTATACAAATTGTTTCTTAAATGTTAGCTGATGACTAGCCGGTAGAAGCAGCATGTCTTGAGCACATATCCCCTGGTACCTAGAAGGCAACTATAGAGGACACTGTGGAAGCTTCCATCACTGTTAATTGCCTGTATTCTGTAGATCTGAATTTCAGGGGACCTTCCCAAGAATGCATAGTTTATGTGATGTGGCATAAAGGAGGTACCAGAACCCCAGAGAGATGCAAAGTAACACCAAGTGATGTGAAATACTCGTTGCGTGTTAACCCCATTTTAGCACAAAATTGGTTCTTTATTGTTAAAGAAGCTGGAAACTATGGGCACAGAAGGTCCACAGCTTTGTGAAACATCAGAATGTACCAAAAGGTTACCAGCCCAGTAGGAAACTTTCTAGTCTGTGGGACTAACATCTTCTATAAAATGCTCAGCTTTGCTATCTAAGTTTAAAGTGCAATCTGGCAATCAACTTAACCTTACTTCAATCATATTTGAGAGGATAAAGATACATATGGGAAGCAAGAATAATCAGTCTAGTTTAAAAACCGAAATCAAGCCGTTTTGGAAGAGTCTTGTTAATGGTGGAGAATTTGTTTAGCCATGTGAAATGTGTAAGTCACTACAGATGCCACTGAGATGCAGCTTGGTAAACAGGCATTGCTTATTTAATAAGTACAGAATGTACACAGACCCCTGAAGAGCATTGCTCTGTACAGATTATTTACAGAATGCACAGTGTAATCCAGGGCTATCTATACAATGCAGACGCCCACACACTCGGGAAGGGAAGACAGCAAAGTAACAAAGGACAGCCCTGTGCGGTTCAAGAGTCCATTCAAGAAGAAACATACATTTCAATATGCAACTAAGTTCTCATTTAGTTTGTTGTTCAATTATTTCTCTTGTTCACCTTTGACAATTTTCAGGTCGCTAGTGCCACCAACTACTATTGAAGATTAAAAATATTAGTGTGAAAATGAACTACTCACTGGAAAAAAAAAATCTTGAAAAATATTAGTAGAGTCAATAGTCTCGAGGCATGAATGACATTATAAAAAATATCCTTACCAGGGCAACATAATATCACATTTACATTATTAATAGTTTCTGAGTTTTTTTTTTCAGATTTTTTCCTAAATTTTCTTGTAAAAATATTTAGAAAATAATCAACATCCGGTGTAAAAGAGAATTTGGAAGGGTGTACAACACGATTGGGTTCATTTCAGGACACCAAGCAGGCACCAGTCAGGCATTTACTCAATGGTAAAGGTCTAACATGTATGGTCTTCGGGTTTCCCCTTACCATGTTAGGAGATGTGCAGAAGCACCATGAAAACAGCAATGTGCTCGAAATGCTCCCCAGGCCAGTGCTCCAGGTCAGCCTGGGGCTGTCGGGCCATCTACCTATGTAAGTCAATCAACTCTCTCCTCAGCCCAGGAATAAAGAGCAGGCGCGAGCGAGGTCTGAGGACCCGAGCTGCTGCTGTCATGAGACCGCAAGTCCCAAGGGACTAGAAAGCGATGGCCACCATACCTGTAGGGTGCCCGGCAAATGTATTTCCTAAATGAATAAATGACATGTGTAGCCTGATTGAGTCATTTTAAATGGCTATGTAGAACAAAACCAAACCACCACCACCAATTGTTCATTCTGTCCAAACTCACCATGTTCAATCCTTGAGACTGTTTTAACAGACTCAAAATCTCAAGTGGTATGGGGAAAAAAAGGAGTGACAGGTACTCACTTTCAAATGAAAACAGGGGAAGTGTATGGACACCGACACACACAGTTTCTTGCCCAAGGATACCAAAGTATTATTAAATAACTAAAATAGTCACTTACATTTGGAACTAACAATGATCAAATACAACAATACCCCTGGGTCCTCAGGTTCTTTCCTCCATATAGTCAATCAGTAGGAGGACCTCAGAAATCCACAGTAGGAGCTGTTTATAAATCAGTGGAGAAGTTCTCTCAGATACACACATTTTTATACATTACTTTGCTCAGTCCTGACCATGTATGAAAGGACACAGGAGATGCCAAACAAAAAAGAAAACAAGACTTTTCCAGCTTTTTAAGCCTCATAAATAGGAAAAAGAAAGCAGTATGATGCAAGTATGGCTTTTAGTAATGATATTTTTCAATTATTTCATTAAGTTCTACAAGTACATGGTGGCATAAATATAAACACTACTTGTTCCGTTCGGTACTGACTGTACTGTGGACATTACCACTATTTGGTCTCCGCTATGCATGTTTGTATCTTGGAATTAAAAAACCCAATCACTGTAACTCACGAATCAATATCACCTGAGGAACCAGGGAAGTGTAGTTACATTGCCTACGTTATGTAGACCTTTGGAGTCTTCCAGTATGTCTAGGAATAAATGGGCAAATAATTCAGAATTTATTGCACTTACCCTCTTATTTTTTATTCTAATAAATTATTAATAATAAAAAGAGCAAGACATTATGACTAACACTTTTTACAACTATTTAAAAATAAAACAACTTTGAATGCATTTTCACTCTGAAGCTAAGAGATATTGTTTGGATAACAACAGATATCACAAAAAGACACTATACTGACATTTAGTATTTAGTAAATTACATTTATAATCAATGTTGATTTAAGGAAATGTTAAAACACATTAAAAGGGCATTGACATGATCTAAATTTTTAGAGCCCAAACAATTCTATTTATAAAACTGGGCTTCATGTAGCCCAGGCTGGCCTCCAACTCACTTTGTCCTTGAGGCTGGCCTTTAATCTTCCTGCACCTCCTAGGTGCTACCATTCTGGGCACGTATTACTACGCCCAGCTTGAGCCCATACAATTCTTTAAAGGTATCTATCCCCAAAGCTCAAGTTCCTCAGGGGAAAAAAATGCCCAAATACAAAACCAACAGAGGCTTGCCAGATATGCTCCAAGGTCTCCCAGGATACACATGGTCTGAACATAATGCAGTGTTTAGGTTCTGGGAGGTGAGAAAAAAATTCAATGACAAAAACATTGGTACTAACAATTGGCAACATTTAAGTATACATCTTAAACACTGTAGATATCTAACAAGATACAACAATTTGGCTCAAAGTTCCTTTGGCTATGAAGATATAACTGTGTTTTAAATAACAGAGTGAAACATCCCATTTGGTGAAATGATGCTTCGTTATGCTACGTAATCAACCATCAAGACTGAAGAACGGGTGCACACATGAAAAGTTAACAGTGCTAAGTGCTGGCTTCTCTTGGGAACGCGGTCTTCAGAAACACCTGAACCCAGTGGTTCTCAACCTTCCTAACGCTGCGACCCTTTAATACAGTTCCTCGTGATGTGGTGACCCCAACCATACAATTATTTTTGTTGCTACTTCATTAACTGTAATTTTGCTACTGTTAAGAATTGTAACGTAAATATCTGATGTGTGACCCCTGTGAAAGGGTTGTGACCCACAGGTTGAGAACCACTGCCTTAAGCCCGTTACATTTACTTCTGTACAATGTCAGTAAAACTAAAGCATGTCAGTTTCAAAGTCTTCATTCATCTGTTCTAATGATTAGATTCATTTCACATTTTAAAATATAATGAGTCCACAGGAAAATTTTAAGTACACACATTGTTTAAAATCTTAGTTTAAGTAACTGAAGATGTAAAAAACTCAACTAGTAACTCAAACAACTCAAATGTGAAAACGTAGCTATGACAAATAAGGAAACCTGACAGACACAAATAGTGCCTGGTCACTGCTAGTTACCAACAGCCAGTTTTCCTGTCTAGCTGTCATTAAAATCAGAATTAAGCATTCATATACATCCTTACAGCACATTGCAAGGCTACTCTGTGATTCCGGCTAATTGTGATGGGGTTGTGAGATGTTGCCCTGGCTGGCTTTGAACTCATGAGCTCCAGATCCTCCTTAGCCTTCGAAGTAGCTAGAACTATAAGGCGATCACTGTGCCCAGATCAAAACTGAAAACTTCATGATTTCTCTAGGTGTCTTTGTGTGTTGCAGAAGTAACGGATGGAGAACACCTGTCTTTTCATGAATACTTTTCAAAGACTGAACTCACTAACGGAAGAACTATGGCAAAGTTTTTTGTTTTGTTTTGTTTTTTAAAAACCCTTGTACTAATGTTTAGCACTTTAGGGCAAAAAGCAAATTAGATGTTGAGTCAGTGACAAGGTGGCTGAATTGCACCACATAGAAACGGACTTCATTGAGCTCACAGTACGGCACACACACCAATGCATTCACGAAAGGGCACGTCTACACAGGGAGTAAAATGAACTTTTGATTAGTTGACACAAAGCAAGGGCTGTTTCAGGACACTGGACAGTGGCACCTGCTGGTCTGCGGCTCTGGTCTGTCTACTGGGCAAGAGCTTTTTGTTAGGTTTTCTTCGTCCTCTGCTCCAGTTCATGCTGGTGTTTAATAAGGCGTTCTATTTCTGTTCCAAGTGTTTGCAGGTTTTCCTTTAATAAGTGGGGAAGAGAAAACAGAAGTACTGAGTATAATACAAGTACCCTGGGAACTACCTTTGCCTAAACAGTGGAACTGAGTGATTAGTTCTTGGAACTAAGATAAACTAGACTAGACACACGTGTTTTAGTGAAACAGGCCTGTCCTTTTTTATTTATTTATTTAATTTTTTTTTTGGGGGGGGGACAAGGTTTTCCTGTATAGTCCTTGCTGTCCTGGAACTCCTACATAGACAGACCAGGCTGGTCTCAAACTTACAGAACTTTCCTGCCTCTACTTCCCAATACTGGGATTAAAGGCACGTGATACCACGCCTGGCCCCAAGTTATAATCTTTTCACTGCAGCTAAAGCAAGTTTTAATGTACAATGATTACTTAGACTCAAAACTATTTTTTAAAAATCTATTACTATCAAGGCCCATGCATAGCAAAGACAGAAAAGTTGGGTCAGACAACAGCTTAAAAAAAAAGCCACAAAATACACTTCAAATGCTGCAATATTGAAATTATAACTGTAGTCATATGGCAAGAGCCATCCATGGTGAAGTTAAAATGCACCTCAGAGTCTGAGGCTGACTTCTCTCTGGGTAACATGGTATCTTGTGTTAGGCAAACAGCCCAGTGCTAGCCGATACTCTGAAGAGACATCATTCTGTCACACTTACTGAGTGTAAATGAGTAAGAAACACAAATACCTTCAAAGTAATATTTTTTAGTAATGTATCTTCCAAAACAGCCTGTAATTTTCGGTTGATTTCCAAAGAGAGCTCCAGTGTTAGCCCACTGTCAGCGGGATGGGATGTGTATAAGGATGCCATGATGCCACCGCGTTTACTCAAATGCACTTTGTTAAAATCAGATGCTTCTGAAGAAAGTGTGCCTGATTCTTCTCGTAAAATGTAACTCTGAATTATTCTGCAAAACAAAATGATACTCTGTGTGCTTGCAGAATAAAAACACTAGGATTGTAGGAATCAAGAATCACAAGCATAAAGATGATTAGCATAAAATAGACATCTGTTAGGCCAATAACCTACGTTGGTGTAGATTTTCCTTACTAGATGGTCTCTTAACCTGTCCCTTTTTTGCTGTATCATGGTAGTTAAAGAAATATAAACACAGCTTGTCTGTTTCTTTCCTTACGTGTATGTAAATATTTTAGTCATTACTTTATTGGTTTGATTTTAACAGTTTCTATTAAACTCTATTTTGCCCTTTCTTTTAAAATCTACAAGCAAAATTTTCTATAGGTCTAAAATTATTTCAAAATAACTTTAAAAGGTTTAGGAGCAGACTTGCATATGAAGACAACTCTTACTGCAGTGTGATGTTTGTGAGAGGAATGTGACGTCACAGACTGTGGCTCAGTCAAGCTGGGTTTGGAGCGTAGCTGGGGGTCTGTCCCTCGCAGGTAAGGGCTGGTCCTACAGATCTAGAGAACCGACTCTGCTGCTGAGTGGGCATGAGTGGGTCTAAGGAACTGATTAACTAGTCCCAAGTACAGTGTTTTACACCAAGAGGAGCTCAATTATTGCCCTATTAGGTTTTGACCAGTAGGAAACAACTCTCAAAACTCCATAATATCTTTTAGAGTCACTCACTTTTAAAAGCTAAATACATTTTTTTTAAAGTCCCAAGTTATTTTAGTATGTTAAAAAGCAAAACCTCTACCCTCCACTCCCTCTCTCCTCTCCTCTCTGATGCTCCCCCTTTAAGAAGACAGTTGGTTGTCTTTCATCTTTGTATCCCTTAGACCTAGAATACAACAGGTGATCAAAAAAGATGGAGCCCGAGATGTGTAGGAATTACTAAGCCAGGCACAGAGCTGCTTGCCTATAGTCCCAGCTACTCAAGAAGCTGATGCGGAAGGATCACGTGAGCCCAGGAATGCAATGCCAGCCTGAATAACATGGTGAACCCCATGGAAAAGATCAGCGTTTCACCAATTTCCCAGGCCACGCGAATGGCAGTCCTCTAACACAGGCTGTGCTACCACAGTAATACATACTTGGTTTTCTTTCTTATCTCTTCTACCAGCTGTTTGATGTGGTCCTCCATGAACTCTATCTTCTCATTCTTCCGGGCATGCGCCTTCTGCAGCCGCACTATCCTCTCAATCAGCATGGCCTTGTCCACTTCTGGGAAGTTGTCCACAGCCACTGAGGAGCTGGTATTCTCTGGAGATCGGTCTTCAGCACTGCTGCGAGCATTAAGTGACCCTGAAGACAGAAAAGCAAGCTCAGTCAGAGTGCATGACCGGGGTCCCCTCATCTCATCCATTCTAGGAGCACTGTCCAATGTTGGGCAAAGAACACAGTGGGCTCCCTGTGGAGGCCATTCTTCTGCGAAAGCACAGATGACAGCAGGTCAGCAGTGTCGGTTACATTGCACAGGAACGAGATGGAGAACAGAGAAAAAATCTTCAAAAATAAAGAATAGCAAAAAGTAAACGATAAGAACATTGAAAAAAGGGGGGGTAGGAGAGGCAAAGAGGCGTGTGTGGGAGGGGAAGGGAGGGAGAGGTGCCACTGTTCAAATCCACTCAACAGTCACATTACTAGTGTGCTTGGACACATTATTGAACCCTCGGTGGCCTAGGTTATTTCTGCTAAAAATAGTAACTTACGTCACAGGATTGTCACCCCATTTAGATGCCATTACTACAATGCACGCAACCTAGACTTTGTAAACGTCAGTATTCCAGCAGACCATGGGAGATCAATGTCTGAGCCTCTTCCCCCAACACAAATGGCCTCCTCAATATTACAGACCTGAGGCAACGATACCCTAGCCCCATTACACAACCAAGTAAAACGAGGTCAGCTGGGACTTAAGATACAGTGGTGATTTTGAACCAGGTACTTTCTGGTCACATGTTCTGTTACTATGGTAACTGCTGCTGAGGCTTTGACCCTAACACACACTTCTTAGACTCCAACAGAAAGAAAATGAAGGATCAAGAGGGAGAGAGGCAGAGACAGAGAAAAGAGAATGAAAACAGATACACAACTGTCTCCTCCATATGTGGGAGATACCCATCTATAGGTTCAACAATCCCCAGATTGGAAATACTTTTTAAAAAGTGTCTACACTAAACATATACAGATTATGTCCTCAGCATTCACACTGTGTTAGACACTAGATATTATCTACACACTCTAGATACGTGATGTCAAAATGATTTAAAGTCTGTGAGAGGATGGCATAGATGATACACAGAGACTGTACCATCTTATACAACTTTTTAGTATCCACTGCATGCTCTGGAACCATCCCCTGTGGATACCAAAGGAGAATTACAGGTATAAACCTGATGCTACATAAGGATGGCCATTTTGTCACTTCTTAGGTGTTAAAATTTGGAAGTAAGAGAGTCCACATACCAGATACGGATAGATACAAATCTAAATTTCAGAATTAAAAGAAGTACTGCACAGAATACAAACATGGCAGGTAAAGAAAATGGGGCTCAGTCAGATAGAGCCCAAGACAAACCTGGAACCTTGGCAAAGAGCAGGATGTAAATATCTGATAAGGTATATTTTCCATAATATAATTATATGTAACTTCTAATTTATGTTTCAAAATGAAACAAAGCCTATAAATATTTCTTAAAAGACTATTATTTATTTATTTATGTGTTTATTTATTTATTTATTTTTCGTTTTTCAAAGTCACAGTTTCTCTGTGTAGTTTTGGTGCCTGTCCTGGATCTCACTCTATAGACCAGGCTGGCCTTGAACTCAGAGATCTGCCTGTTTATGCCTCCTGAGTGCTGGGATTAAAGGCGTGCGCCACCACCATGCAGCAAAAGACTATTTTTTAAACAACTACCAACTAAGCTCATTCTTACCTGATGAACTAGAACGGCTTCCCATGCTGCTAACTTCTTTATCGTAGTTCCCATTCTCAGTCTGGTCTAATTTTCTCCGTGCTGTTAGAAAAATAAATGGATTACTTGTGACAGTTTTAATGGCCATTTGCTCATGCCATCTGACATTAACTGCTAAAGTCACTTGGGCAAAAATGGCCTAGCCCACAAGACAATGGTCCTTGAGATATATCTTAGAACACTGGGGATGCCATTCACATAAAATGACTTTTGGAAATGTACACGTTAAATGAAAACCAAAGATAACTGAGAGCAGTACTTTTGCTTACAATGACTTGAACTTTCAGATCCTTCTCAGTATCAGAAATCTCTCCCAAATTTGCCTTCAGTTACATTTGCAAAAAACATGTCGAGAGAGCGGTGGACCAGAGATGATGAGAACCGACTGCTCTTCCAGAAGACCAGGTCCAATCCCCAGCACCTACACGGTGGCTCATGACTGTGGTGATATTTTGTTTGCAATCTAACAAATAAAGCTTGCTTGAAGATCAGAGTGTGGAGCTAAGCCACTAGTCAGCCATAGAGGCACACATCTTTGATCCCAGCATTTGGGATCTCATGCCCCCAGCACTAGGGAGATGGAGACAGGAAGTGATATGGCTGGGCAGAGAGAGGAATATATGACGGGAGGAGACAGGGGCTCAGCCCCTTTCATGCTGAGGATGAAACTCCATAACTCCAGTCCCAGAGGATCTGATGCCCTCGCTGGTGTCTATGAGGAGCAGATAAGCAGGTGGTGCATAGTGTGCAGGCCAAATGCTCACAGGCATAAAAACAGATAAATCTTAAAAACAAAAAACAAAAAAACTGAATTCAGCTGGCCTTGAACTATGCAGATGAGGATGAACTTGATCCTGCTGGATTACAGGCATGCATTAGCATACATGAATTTGGGGGGAAAAACACATTTAAACAACTTTTGCAGGTAGCAGAATGCAAAGCAAAAAGGTTGAGATTTTCCCAACTGGCCACAGGGAGTTTCCTGATTTTCACCTCCTGTGGTTTTGTGAAAAAACAGCCTTTAGCATGAAAGCAGACTACTCACAGGATTGCAAGTTTAGCCATCTGAGTATTTGTAATTTAGTCTGTGGATGTTAACACAGTGAAGAAGAATATACAGGCTGAGCACAGTGGCACATCCCTTTATTCCTAACACCGAGGAGGGTGAGGCAGAAGACTAGGTATGTAAGGTCACGAAGACTGCCGCAAGGATGATGACAAAACCTGAGCGTAAGAGAAAAATCAACCCCACACACAGCTGAACGCACACAGGAGCACACAGAGCCAGTGCGCCTCCTGTGTCAGATCTCTAACACACACAGGCACATTCTGGGGCCCAACATGCAAGACACGAGTACCTTGCTGGAGCTGTTTGCTAAGATCCTTGACATTGGAGGCGTGTTTGCGCCTCTGTGTTACTAACTCATCCTTCAGTTCTTCCACTTGGGTGCTCAGGGCTTTAACTTCTGTCTGCATAGCGGAGAGCTCGGCCTGCAGGCTCTGGACCTCCTCTTTCCGCAGTCCCTCCTCTCTGAGCAATCTGCTCTCCTGAACAGAAAGTACGATATGGTTACAAAGCACTGGATTTTTCTTTCTCCAATTATTGCTCAATTTAAAACCTTAACATTATAAGGGAGAATAGACTCTCCTGTGACAGCTCCTCCTCATCTTCACCCAGCAGCTCAGGGAACATCAACAGGGTCGGGTGACACCCTGTGTGGGACACAGCTTCAGTGTAAGTCTCTGAATTTTTGGAAGACTCAAATTTCTTTGTTTCTTTTTTTTGAGACAAGGTCTCACTATTCCTGGCTGGCCTGAGCACTGACTCTGTAGACCAGGCTGTCCCTGAACTCACAGAGATCCACCTGCCTCTGCCTTCAGAATGCTGGGATTAAAGGCGTGCGACACCACTTGGCTCAAATCACTTTTATGAGCAACTAGACGGCACTTTTATTACTCAGGAATATTGTACCATTCTAAACTACTAATAAATAAATGCCCTAAAAAAATGGAGACTCCAGTTAGTACTGACAGAAATCATGGTTTCCTTATTTTCAAAACTGTAATATTCTTTATCATTTTAGAAAAATTCTATTATAGGAATTATATTCATTAAACAGAAAAACAAATATATTTTTACAAAATTTAAAAGACAGATATTCCTAGAAGAACTAAAGCTAATTACACTAGACTCCGCCTATATAACTAGAGAAATTCAACCTGTGCTTCTTGCTGCTGTTTTAAGAACGGACGCTAGGGGCTGGAGAGCGATGACTCAGTAGTTAGGGGCACTGCTGCTCTTCCAGTGGACGGCAGAACAGCGCCATCTGCTGGCCTCCGCACTGTACTACGTGGTGCACAGCCACGTGCAGCACACACCCATTAGGAGGAAAAGAAGGAAACTTATACTCACTCACCAAGTGAGCGTTGGTCTGTGTCATGTGCTCGCACTGGCTTTGCAGCTGACTTTCACTGCAGGAGAGGCTGTCCACTTGTGACTGCAGAGAGCAGGACTCAGACTGCAGCTGTGCGTTCTTACTAGTGAGCTTCTCCGTGAACAGCAGGAGCTCAGACTCCCTTTTCCTGCTGCCTTCGATGTCTTTCTGTAGGTCATTAATCAAAGAATTAAGGCTTTCCATTTCTTCCTTCAAATGTTCAATTTCTTGTTTACCACTAAAAAACAAAGTTTGTATTGAAGAAAAATTAAATAAGCTATTAAAAACATTAAATTAATGGTGTGGAAATTTTCACTTAATGCTTTACAGAGGTACTTGTGGTCGTACGTCCATTCAAACACGACAGTCTCCTATGTTAAGGGAAGAGCTATGAAGGTAAGTGAGCAAGGCTTCCAAAGAGCTTTTCTAGTGAGCAGGCTAATGGCAGGAGTGTGGTGACACACTGAGCAGGCAGGCTGCCTGAGCTCACTGGGTATGACCACCATCCTGTGAAAGGGCAGGCAGGCTTCTGAGCCACGCTTTGTTGTTTTTGGTTATCTGCCTCAAATGTATCTTGTTGCTGCACTATGAAAATAGCCACACTCAAAACTCAATGGAACACTGTGGCAGTGTCCTAAAAGGCCTTCCGTTTACAGGAGATGGAGCAGCGGTTCAGAGCACTGGGTCTTGCAGAAGACCCAGGTTTGGTTCCCAGCACCTACATGGTGGCTCATGACCATCTGTAACTCCAGTTCCAGAGACCTCACTTTCTTTTCTGGCCTCCAAAGGTACCAGGCATGCATGTAATGCACACACATACAGGCAGGTAAACATGCATATACACACAGTTTTTAAAATCCTGTCAATGTATAAAAGATAGTCAGTAGACAGACAAGAGATAAAGGAGTAATCACAGGACCCACAGCAGAAGTGGAAGGAGTATCAGAGGAGGAACATGCCCTGCACCAGGACAGGGAGAATGGTTATGAATGCTGACAGCTCAGAACTGAGCACAGGAAGCTGAAAGAAGAGGCACCAACAGCTCCTGTTTCCTGCAACTGATCCCAGGCTAGGAGGGAGAAAGCAGAACACCTCAGGAGGGAGGAGGCCTGAGGGGGACAGGGCCGGTGACAGGCACACTCGACCCTAGTCGAGGAAGGCAACTGGGAGGGTGAGCAGCACTTCTTCATGGAGATGAGCAGCACAGACAACACAAATTTAACCTGACCCAGGCTCTGCTAGATGATATCATGAATCAAGTTTGTGTTGTGGATGACTGACTGATAAATAAAGCTGATTGGCCAGTAGCCAGACAAAAAGTATAGGAGAGAGGAAAATTTTAAAAAGTAAAAGGCTGAGGCAGAGAAACGCTGCCAGCCACCATGAAAAAAACAGATGTTAAGATACCAGTAAGCCACGAGCTACATAACAACTTATAGATAAATAAAAATGGGTTAATTTAAGATATAAAAACAGTTAATAAAAAGCCTGCCATGGCCATACAGTTTATAAATAATGTAAGTCTCTGTGTGTTTACTCGGTTGGGTCTGAGTGGCTACGGAACTGGTGGGTGAGAGAGATTTGTCCTGACTGTGGGCCAGGCGGGACCAAAAAAACTCTAGCTGCAAGTCTAAGTGATTTTGAGACGTCAAGGAATGATGTCAGTTTCTGACCTCAAGCCACACACATGCAAAGTTAAAGATCTAGGCACAGATTCACGTTTCCCTTTCAGAAGAATGACAGCTGTGAAGCTGAAGACAGATAGACTGAATTCACCCCCACCTGTGACGGTTCCTGAACTAGAAACTTTGATTTGACTTCTAGGAGTCAAAGACACAGACTGAAGAACTGCCAACTCTGCCTTCAGAGTGCTGGGATTAAAGGCATGCGACACCACTTGGCTCAAATCACTTTTATGAGCAACTAGATGGCACTTTTATTACTCAGGAATATTGTACCATTCTAAACTACTAATAAATAAATGCCCTAAAAAAAATGGAGACTCCAGTTAGTACTGACAGAAATCATGGTTTCCTTATTTTCAAAACTGTAATATTCTTGCCGGGCGGTGGTGGCGCACGCCTTTAATCCCAGCACTCGGGAGGCAGAGCCAGGCGGATCTCTGTGAGTTCGAGGCCAGCCTGGGCTACCAAGTGAGTTCCAGGAGAGGCGCAAAGCTACACAGAGAAACCCTGTCTCGAAAAAAACAAAAAAAAAAAAAAGAAAAAAAACAAAAACAAAACAAAAAAAAAAAACCAAAAAAAAAAAAAATAGAAATTAAAAAAAAAAAAAAAAAAAAACTGTAATATTCTTTATCATTTTAGAAAAATTCTATTATAGGAATTATATTCATTAAACAGGAAAGCAAATATATGGTTACAAAATTTAAAAGACCAGATATTCCCAGAAGAACTAAAGCTAATTACACTAGACTCCGCCGCTATGACTAGAGGACTCAACCTGGGCTCCTAGCTGTTGTTGTAAGAACTGACGGTGGCTGAACTTACAGACAAAATGAAAAGCTTGCTGCTCATTCCATACCTCTGAAGCTCCTCCTGGATCTGATCTGTCGTTTTCACTTTGTCCAGCAAACTCTGAATTTCAGCTTTCTGACGATTAATAATTTCCCTGTATTTTGATAATTCGTCTTCAGTTCTTAAGCGTTCATCTTCTAGACATTTTGCCTATAAAATGATCACAATCAAGCTGAAGTACCTCAGACAGGAGGGACACACAGCAACCCGAGACACACGCTACAGGGCTGGTGAGAAGACGGCAGGAAGTCGCCCTGCTTCTCCAGACTCCCCCATCTCTCTCCCTTCCGTCCCAGCCGTGGAGAGCTGGCTGACACATGGGGAAGGACAAGGCACACATGGCACAGACCTACTTCTAACATGTGGAGACGGCACTAACAGTAACATGAACACTAACAGGGCCGTCACTCTGACAGAGACTACACACATGGGATTCACTCATGTCAGGAACTAAAATAATACCCGTCCTGCTGTGAATACAGCCAGAGTATCCTCAGTCTTAAAAGAGTGTTTGGTGCTGACACCACCATAAGGTCCGCACCCTTCCTGCCACCTGCTTTACGGTCCTTAGCTCCAAAGCCCACGCGTAAGGTACAGACACTGCAAGTGTGCTTGAACAGGGACGCATGGCAAGCACTTCCTGTGACTAGCACGCACTCAACTCAACAAGAGTCGGTTGCTCTGCTAAGAAAATGCTATTTTTTCCCTGAGTTCTTTTATTTTAAAGAACTTCTAAGTAAGTATTCCTTCCCTAACACTTTACAAATCAGTAAATTCTAAGTGAAAGATATTTACCTCAACTCTGAGTTAGGCCTGAAGATTTGATTACCTTTGTTCTCAATGTCCGGAGCTCATCCATACCCTCCTTAAATGTCCTCTTCAGATCTTCCAGTTCCTTTATTTTGGCATGATGCATCTGGAAAAGAGACACAAATCCTAATGCAACACATGAGCACTGGCAGTTTTTCACCTGCTTCTTCTAAAAAGGCCTTAGATGCAGACAGTAATGAGTACCCCATTCCTTTTGTATTACATAGTCTAGCCTGTCATATATTCATTATACAACACAGAAGAACTGAACTCCTCACCTCTAGCTGGTCAGATTTTTCTTGCATTTGTTTTTCAAGTTCTCCTTTTGTGACTCTGAGTTTTGCATCAAGCTCATTTGACTTAATTTCTTCTGATTCCTAATGTAAAAACAATGAAAAGTATTTATACTGTGAAAATGAACAAAGCTTTGCAATCAAGTTTACTAATTGTGCAGTAGATTATGCAGCTAAAATTAAAGAATGCATTGAATGATTTTAAATGTTAACTTTGCAGAACCAAGAATAGTGCACTTTGGGTTCACAACATATTACAGAAGAATGTCTTTTAAGCTGTGTATTTCTTCACTCTCTTCATTATCTTGACATTTTCTAGGATTTTTTTTTTTTTTTTTTTTTTTGATGAAAAGATCTCTAATGAGTCTGAGCTGCATATGTGGTGCAATTGTGTGCCTGTGGGCCCATGGAGGCCAGAGGTGACAGCAGGTCTCTTCCTCAACTGCTCTCCACTCCACCTTACTTTTGAGACAGGATACCATGCAACCTCAAACTGACTGGCCAGTGAGCTCCACAGATCGGCCTGCCCCATCTCTCTTCACCCTGCCAAAGCCAAGGATATAGATGCATGCTGCCATATCCAGCTTTTTATGTGGGTGCTCAGGTCCTCATGCTTGCATGGCAAGCATTTTCCCCACCAGGGTAGCTTCCCAGTCTTCAACTGCAGCTACTTTAACACAGGAACTAACTTACGTTTTACCTTAACTGTCCTAAGAAATCCATATACACTTCAAATTTGGCAGAGATAGAAAAACCATGAAAACAGAGTTCTAATAATTAGTCTATTTCAAAAAGGAAACATACCTGATATGTTTTTATCATATCTTGACAGTTTTGCCGGATCTGATCAGCTTCTTCCTTTGCCTGTGTTAATTTTGACGTTGTTTCTTTGAGTTTATCTTTGGTTTCCTACAGTGACAAAGTGACAGAGACAAAATTAACCATGGTGATATGAAGAACAGTAAGAACAAAGATAGTTCTGCTTGTGATGGTTTGCATGAAACTGGTCCCAATAGACTCGGGGAGTGGCATTGTTGGAGGTGTGGCCTTGTTGCAGGAAGTGTGGCCTTGTTGCAGGAAGTATGTCACACAGGGTGGGCTCTGAGGTTTCAGAAGTTCAAGCCAGACCCAGTGGCTTACTCTTTCCTCCTGTTGCCTGAGGATCCAAATATAGATACAGAACTCTCAGCCCCTCTCCAGCACCATGTCTGCCTGTATGCCGCCGTGTTTCCTGCCATGACGATAATGGACTAAACCTCTGAAACTGTGAGCCAGCCCCAATTAATGTTTTCCTTTTTAAGAGTTGTGTGATCATGGTGTCTCTTTACAGCAATAGAACAGCACTGACTAAGACAATGCTGTAGCACTAGACTGGGAAGTAAGCAAGAGTCTAGCAGTAGTTTTTGTGTCTGATAAAGTGAAAATGGTCAGCACAGTTAATTGATGGATATTAAATAAGTTAAAATGAACAGTTTTCACCAAATTCCTCAAAATGACTATGGTGGTAAGAGAAGTGGAATGTTCAATGGTTTTCTGCACATCCCAGAGATCCTCTGGGTGTAGCTGTGACATCCACAAGAAGCTCCCTTTGACTGAACAATGCTACTAAACACGGTCTCTGTTTCTAGCTGCTCTACTAAAATGGCAGTTCTTCACACAGGATTTTAGGGATTACTCTCATCAAATCCGGTTGCTTTTTTTCCTCATTCTTATTCATTACTCGCCTGTTCCAGTCCTGACCACCCTGGCTCTTCACTCCTTGCCCAGTTCCCACTGAATACATGTATACTCTCTTCTGTGTGTCTTCATTGCTTGCTTTCTGCTCACCGGAGGGTGACTTCTCCCACCTTCCTGACTGCAGATGCCATGTGACCAGGCCTCTCAAACTGCTGGTCATGCCTTTCCTGCTATAATGCAAAACCATAGCCAAAAAGACCTTCCTTGCGCTTTATCAGGAGTTCCGGCACAGCGATGAGAAACAAAAGCAGTGACTAAAACCTACTGCATCTGTGGAGGAATGCCAGGCAGCAGCCTCTGCTCTAGGCAGGTCGGCATCGGCCCCTTTTGTTCTTATGCTTGGAACAGGTTTGCCTTTCTCTCCTAAACATCCACACTGCACCTAGCTCCACACACTACTCCATGTGTCATTTTAACAAGTATCATAATTAAGTATTTACTTATCTTCCTTGAGCTACTGGTCATTGATAGTAAATGGCCATATGTTAGAACCCAGTATCACTTAAAATAGAAATAATGTAATAATCTAGATATTAAAGAATCTCAGACTAGGTAACAACTGTGGTTCTGCATCTTCACTATCAGAACCAAGACACAGCTGATATATAGTTCTGGCCCATTTCAGTACCCAAAAACCACAAATGAGATTCCTGTGTGCCAAATAAATGTGACTAATTAAATGAACATTTGAATAAATGAAAAATATTCACATTGTGTTTAGGTTAAGGATGCTTACTGGGTTTGACCTACCTATCAAACGAGCACTTCCAGGCACTGTTCCTTTTTGTTAAATCTTGCATGCGTGTGTGTGTGTGTGCATGTGAACAGAGGTCAGAGGACAACTTTAGTTGTCAGCCCTCACCCCCCACCATGTGGCAGCTGCATGCACCAGGCTAGCTAGCCTACAGGCTTCTGGAGATGCTCCTGTCTCAGCCCCCATCTCACCACAGAAGTGCCCTGGGTTTTGGGGGATCTGAACTCAGTTCTCATTTGCACAGCAAACACCTTGATCTACCCAGCCATCTCCCCAGCTTTTACAGACTGTTCTGGGAAATGGCTTTATAAGCAAACAAATATCTCTACCCCTACGAAGTTGACATTCTATTGAGGAGTTAAATAAAAAAATAAAATACATAAGTAAAGGGTATGTTCATTATATTAGGGACAGGTGCTTAGGAGTAAAAATAAAACAAGAGTAAAGTTTAGGAGAGGGGTTTAGAGCTTACGCAGACTGGCTACGCAGTTTCAGTGAGGTGTTGGGTAAACACAGGCTTGAAAGGTGTAAGATGAGGGCTGGATATGCTGAGAGAAATCAAGGTTGAAAGCCTTTTGACCTGAGCAACTAAAAGACTGGCTTGTCATTTATTCAGATAGGGAAGTGACAGAGGGAAGGAAGACACTGTAAATTATTGAAGATGTCAGGTATAAAGAATGCAGTTGAACATAGGCATTGGTGTTAAATGTTTTGAGAAAGTTTCATGCAGCCTAGCTAGCCTCAAACTTGTTAGCTAGCTCAGAATAACCTTAAACACTACCTAAGCGCTGGGATCACAGTTTTATGGGGACTGAATCCAGGGCTTCATGCATACACTCTATCATAAACTGAACTACACCCCCAGCCTCTCTACTGCTGTTTAATTCAATGATCTGGTCTTCTGCAGTACTTCATCTGTTAATTCTACATGTTTTTCATCATGAATGCTGTATCAATATTAACTTTAAATACCACCCATGTTGCCTCTTATCTGACTCAAGCCTTTGTTTATCTCCTTGGAGATATAGAGGGTGCTTATAATTTCAACTGTAACATCCTTATGTACAATTCTATACTATGAGTCATTTTGGATCTGTTCCTATTGACTGATTCCTTTGTTCTTTTTTTTGTTTGTTTTTTTGTTTTTTGTTTTGTTTTGTTTCTTTTCAAGACAGGGTTTCTCTGTGTAGCTTTGCGCCTTTCCTGGAATCACTCTGTAGCCCAGGCTGGCCTTGAATTCACAGAGATCCACTTGGCTCAGCCTCCCGCGTGCTGGGATTAAAGGCGTGCGCCACCACCGCCTGGCTGATTCCTTTGTTCTATAGACTGCATTTTTCTGCTGACTTTGTATGCTGGTCATTTTTCATTAGGTGCCAAACATAGTGAATTGTGTACTTTCAGGCAATGTTTTACAATCATTTGAAATTATTTCTATAATTTGTCTTAGTGCACAGCTGAATTACTTGCAATAAGCTTGCTTTTAAAGCTGTGTGAAATGGCCTTCACAACTAAAGCAATATTTGCTGAGGGCTACTAGATGCCCTGTGTGCTAAGAGTCCTGCACTTTGGCTGGTGTCCACAGTAACATCGACTTCCAAGCCCTTGTGAGCTCCAGGGGTTGTGGGTCCTACTCCTTTTGCATTTCTGAACCCCGCCCTTCTCTTCTCCATACTTGGCACTCTATATCCTCAACCCAGAAAGGTGCTGGGTTTGGCTTCAATTCCTCTCCTCATGCTGCAGAACCCCAGCAATAGCCTCATCTGTTTCACTTCATTTAGGGATCACTAACCTATGCTGTCTTTTGTCTCAAGTCTGAAAACCTTCACTTCACATATTTTTATTGTTTTTTTCTCCTTTGTGCGTACACACGGTTTTGTTTTTTTAACCTTTCCGTTTCTGTATTTGGGGAGGATTTTTAGTTTAAAGTGGAAGGGTATGTCTGGATCGTGCTATCCCACAGTGCAAGAGGGCAAACAACAGATACAGAACAAACAGATGACGGCTTACTAAGCGTTGGTAAAGCAGCAACGCAACTCTCAGAAAGTTCTAAAGTCTGGCAGTGAGCCTCTGACAAACCATGACACTGAGGCAGCACTGGCCACAGAGACGGCAACAACTGCAGAGCCACAGGAAGCACAGCTCCTGGCTTTAGGCAGCTGAGCAGACAGAACACAAGAGCAATGCTAGTCACACAGGCCCCGGGAAGTTCTCTTGCATCCTGCCCGTCTCTGTAGATGCTGCTTTGATTTGAGAGACAACAGAATGCTAGCTTTTGGGGGCAGAACTGCCTGGCAAGCACCCAGCACAGCCAACCATGCTGCCAAAGGACCATGATCATATGTATTGCCAGCCATACCTATGCTCCAGTGAGATCTTCTTATTCTGAGGTCAGGCAATGAGACCATGGCAACCAGACAGATAAGCAAGTACATGAGGTACAATGTGGGAAGTCTTTCTTCATTATTCACTACATTCAACAAAACTTCTGTTTTTAAAGGCTAAACATTGGAGAAATAATTTTAGTTAAACCCACAAAGGAGCTTGGGGGAGATAATGATTAATTTCTGTAGTCTGACCTTGACCTGGACATCAGATACACACACAGTTTAGACTTCAATTCTGGTAACGTACGCTGGAGGGCTGACCAGGACCACTGCTCACAAAGGACCCAGAACCCACAGTACCCCAGTGTTAGCATCGAAGACTGAAGTGGGGCCCAGGAAAGTTTACAAAGTCTCTTGCTCATCTGAGTGGTTTCCCACGCTGCCAGATCACCTCTAAATCTTGACTCAGTTTCCTTCTCCCAGCCAGTAGGCAGATGCATAGGAGAGGTTAAGCCAGGGCCCTGGTCCAGACACTCTGAAGGCAAAGACTGTCTTCTCACTCTCACATGTCTGCATTACCTAACAGCACTGTACACAGAGCTAATGCTTGATGGCTAAACCCAAGGCCTTACTTAAAAAGAACTAGTAAACACCCAGTTTCCACACAGCAGGTCAGTATGCTTACTATTTTATGTCCTAACTGGTTCATCTACATCTTGTCACCTCACAGAAGTCAGCCTTCAGCTACTTCTCTGAACAAGCTGGTCTCACCTCTCAACACTGCCATTAGAAGTTTCTCACCATCCTATCTTTAAACACTCAGGACTCACAGATGTGCAAGCTAAATGCCAATATTCCAGTAGACCTTAAGATTCTTTCTCTTAGAAACAGAGATAGAGGAAAAGAAAGTGCCAAAAACATTAGAAATGACTGAGCAGGGTGCTCAGAACTTAGAGTAACTCGGGCAGTTAGAAATTATTTTTTGTGAATTTCAAATTTTAATTTCTCACCACATAACCCAGAGTACAGGGAAAATCTTGAGTAGCTAAGTGAGTCAGGTTGCTCCACTGCTTTCTAGGAGTTCTTTGTAGTTTCCCACACACCCATGGATTGTGAGTAACAGAAACAGAGCACACTGCTAATCTACCTTTGACCACTCTCAATACAGACTACCTACAGTTTTCTGATACTAACATACAAATATCCAAAGGTGATTAACAATTTCATTGACTTGGTAATCCTTAATAAGGCAATGTGGCCAGGCGGTAGTGGCACATGCCTTTAATCCCAGCATTTGGGAGGCAGAGGCAGGGGGGTCTAAGTTTCGAGGCCAGTCTGGTCTACATTGTGAGTCCTAGGACAGCCAGAGCTACAACACAGAGAAACCCCATCTCAAAAAACCAAAACAATAATAATAATAAGGCAACCTGGAATTATGTTTTAGACAGCATCATTAAGCCTACTTTTAAAAACGTGGAAAATAACACACTATTTCTCTAACACCACCCCTCTGTTTAAGCTACATTTCAGAGTTGATTTTTACTGTTCATTTTATCATCTGCAGATTTTTATTTCTCCAAAGACTAACTCTATCTGTGTTTAAACTATGCCATCAGTTACCAGACTTTGTAACTACATTTTATTATATTAATTTTTAAATAAAATGGTATTTGCAGCAAGCAGTTCAGGGACAGGGAAATTAGCCTAGCACATGTGTGTTCATGCACATACATGTTTTTGCTAGCATGGTAGCAATAGGATATTTATGAAAACAGATAAGCTATTTCTATTAAATTATATTTAAACATGGACATGTATTCTTAATTATGAGAATCTTAAGATACTTTAAAATTTTTCATTTTAATTCCAACAACATATATTGAAGTTTCCCTCCCCTCAAACTGAGGATCAAAAAAAAAAATGGCCGGGCGGTGGTAGCGCACGCCTTTAATCCCAGCACTCGGGAGGCAGAGCCAGGTGGATCTCTGTGAGTTCGAGGCCAGCCTGGGCTACCAAGCGAGTCCCAGGAAAGGCGCAAAGCTACACAGAGAAACCCTGTCTCGAAAAACGAAAAAAAAAAAAAAAATGATTAAATAACTTGGCAAATTTAGGTGTTATAAACTGAATTATAAAATTTAAATCCCTTTCTTACGATGATGACCCAACATGCAGAGTCGCCAAGGAAAGCCCCACGCCTCCTTAGCTGTCACCAAACTCTCCCTGAGCCCTCACGGCTGCCCCATGGCACCCGCACTCACCTTGTGTGAATCCATCTCAGCCTTTAGCTTGTTCTGTGCCCACTTGACTTTAATGACGTACGAGCTGATCTCCTCCTTTAATTTGTCTGTTTCTCTGATGAGTCTAGACATTTCACCTTCCTAAAAGGACATCAGGTCATTTTTCACTTAAACAATCAACTGTGGGTCTTTTACACCCCTGTGCAGTAACACAATAATTCAAGGGTGGGTACACTATGGCCCAAAAGCTATAAAACTGATTTAAGGTTCAAATGATAAGAGAGTAATAAAACTCTAAATCAAATTAACAGACATGAAGATAATTATTACCTAGTTTGGGTGCAGTGGAAGACAAACATACTCTGATTCTTAACTATCTGGCAGTAAAGTAAACATGATTGAGCTGGTTCTGCTAGAATCCCGGAGGACAGTAACAACATTTCCAAACTAAAAGACAATAGCAAGAGCTCTGAATAGCTAAAACTTCAGCCATTCAACCTTCTAGGACAGCTGTAGAATAAATACATTTGTCAGTAAGAAAATATGAATTCTAGTCTCCAGTAAACTAAGTATTGCACTAAGATTCTGGCCATGCTGGAGATGCGCTCAGCAGTGGTGACCTTGCCCGGCCTGTATGAAGGCCCAGACCCAGTCCCTAGCACTGCAGGGGGGAAAGGTATTAAATAAAAAAACAAGGAAGACTCTGGCCAAATGATATGTTTAATTCTAAAGCTAATCACAACTGACATTAATATGTACATATTTTAGCAAAGTTTTTTTTTTTGAGATACAAACTAATTTTTCCAACAGCTTCTAAAAGAAAGTTTTAAAAATGATTAAGAAAAGCCTTTCTACCAGCAACGAATGAGGCACCTAAAACACGCATGAAAGTAAGCTAAAAAAATACACTGTCTGACTGCTTCAGTCCTACACTGCTGTGTGACTAGGGAAGAGGCACAAGTTATACCTTCGATTCATAGAGTTGCTGCAGCCGCCCTTTCTCCTGAGAAAGCTGCTTAATTTTGTTAGTGTTTTTCTCCAACTCCTTATTTGCATCTCTAAGTTTTCTCTCAAGTGTTTCTTTTTCTTTGCGAAGGTCTAGAGACTCCTTCTCACCTCTCACATACTTCATTACCATTGCTTCCTTTTCTTGCCGGGCCTCTTCACATTTCTTATTGGCCTTAGAAAGAAAACATTACCTCGTATTAATAAAAATATTTTCACATAAAAACATCTACAGATAAAAACTATTTCCTGCAGTGCTGGCATATACTTTTGTACTAAGCTCCCAGCCCTTTCTTACTCCTTTTACTTTGGTTGGTGTGGCTTTTAGTGTATGTATTTCCCTTCCCCACATCTGCTTCCTTGCTGGTTTCTGTGCCACTCTGGGCCCCAGGAAGAGGACCATCCATCACAGTTCCTGTAACCTCACACCTGTCATGGGGTTTGGCTGGCAAGATTGGCAGGCAGACACTTGGAAAGGAAGAGTGAAATCCGGCTTCTGGTCACCAGGAGTCATCTAATACAACTACTCTCTCTGGGTTGTCCTGCTCTTGAACTGCTAGAACTAAAACATAAATATGCATCTGTTTTTGTAATAGAGTATCCATACTCAAGTGTTTTGTTGTAGCAACACAAAAAGGGCTAGTGAAAACATGCATACACAAGCAGGTGTCTCAAGTACATGTATATGTGAGTAACAAAAAGTCAATAATTAGCTATGGAACAAGGAAAGAGAGGAAGGGACTGGAGACACAGGTGAAGAGGTGACTCTCATTTTGTCCCATATATTCCTTAATTTATTAATTTTTTTAAAATTAGCATGTATTTACGATTGCCTTAGCACTGTTTATGATTTATTTTTTTATTTTTATTTATGTGTGTGTGTCTCTGAGCACAAGCATGTGAATGCTCTTGGAGGATACAAGAGGGCATGGGAACCCTGGCACTGGAGTGATAGGTGGTTGGGAGCCACCTGACTGGATGCTAGAATACCAACTCCTGACTTCTGCAAGGTCAGCAAGCAGTCTTCCCAGCTGAGCCCCCTCCAGTCCTTCGCTTCCTTTCAAAGCTCTTTCTGAGTGCCACCGGAGTCACAATAGCCATTAGATTCTAATAAACAAGCACCAAACTACCAAATTAATAGTGATATGAAATACCTGGTCCATCCTCTGGGTCATCTCTTTGTGGATTTGCTGAATTGTATTTTTAGCTGTGACATCCTGTGCAACTAGCTGATCTTGAGAAGCTTTAACTTCCTTATTCAGTTCCTCTATTCTTAATTCTAACTGTAAAAAGAATGATTTCCAGGTTATATTTTATAGCTGTACCAAACAGACCAATGATACAATTAATACATACAATGCAAATGAAGAATGAAAAATATGGATCCTGACTATTCCTCAGGTTCCCTCACAGGCTTTAGCCTTTAAGTTTGGCTTATATGTAGTAGACCTGGAGCACATAAAAAAGTCACAATTAACTACTGCATACAACAGCTTATAATCTCCTTTCAATTATGTGAAAGTGCAACAAATACATATCAAAACACAAGTAAATGAAAACTTGGTTGAATTTTTTATTATACAGCTGTTTGCTGCTGCTTTCATTAGACAGCTTTCTAGGAAAGAACAGGAAACAGTCATGAGCAGCATGACAATGCTTGTGTAAATGATGGGCAGTAGGTACACTCCAAGCCTGCATCCCCACTGTCTCCTAGCACTTTTAGTTGAAGTGTGCCTTATGATGTCCACACCAGGAAGAAAACCACAAGATCCATTTCTCAGAACATGCCAGTGCTAAGTCCACCACCCAGCACAGGACACTCCCACTCTGTCCACAGAAGAAAAAACAGCTCAGAAAAACCAAGAGCAGCTTTTCCTCCATTACACCTAAGCACTCACCCATCCATCCACTCACGCAGCAAACACACCCATGGAAAAGAGAGAAAGAAAGGTCCCAGCTATGGACACCAGTTAGCCTGGCATGACCTTCACAGTAGAACCCAGAACACTGGGAATGAAGCCGTACTAGAACCACAGTGAGAAAAAGATCCTGGGTGTCACTACTATTAACGACATCTTCTCTTAATTGATAAGAAGTTAAATCAAATCAAGCCTTGTTCATGGTTTGGGAAGAAAATGTGTCATATTTGGAACAGTTAAACGAATAATTATTTATATAAAATAATTCAGGCTCATTCTAATGCTTTAAATACAAAGTAGTTTCCTGTAGCATAAATCTTAAAAGGTCTTATTAAAAACAAACCTGGGAGCCAAGTATTGGGGTGAATGCTGAAAGATCAGGGAGACAGAACAAGCCACAGCCAACCTTACCTCACCAATTTCTCAGTTGATCTTGTTTTCTCAAACTGGAAGCCTCTGTGTCCTTATCCAAATGGATCTCAGCTGAACTGCTGCTAAAAGCCTAAAAGCTTAAAAAGACCTCTAGTTCCTGGTCCTCATGACTTATATACCTTTCTGCTCCCTTCCATCACTCCCTGGGACTAAAGGTGTGTGTCACCATGCCTTGCCGTTTCCAGTGGGGCTTTGAACTCAAAGAGATCCAGACAGATCTCTGCCTCCTGCCTAAACCTACGTTTAATATGGTGGCTGTTCTGTTCTCTGACCCTCAGATAAGTTTACTGGGGTGCACAATGTATCAACCACAGCTTCCTGCATTTGAAATGTTTTTAACTTATTACATGTTTTTTGTTTGTTTGTTTGTTTGTTTTCAGGAGTTTACTTTCTAAATTTAAGTATGGTCTTGGAAGAATTATTTTTTTTTTACCTGTTTAATTGTGTTCATATGCTGCTTCTCTGTTTCTGTTCTTTTTTTCAGTTCTTCTCTTAAATTGTCTTTTTCTGAGCAAATATTTAAGATGAGTTCCTGATGATTCTTATTTTCTTTAATTAACCTAAACATAAAAGGGAATATAAATAAAGCAAAAATGGAGATAAGATATGGAATATTATTTATCTACAGATTAGATGTAGACACCTATGATTATATAAGTCAATACTCTCAAGCAATCTTTTTATAATAAAGTACCATATTCATATAAGAACAAAACCCCACACCTAATGATGCCTTCTCAGAGCATGTCTTTGCCATCAAGTGATTTTATGTTTATGGATAAACTATTTCCAATCCTGTCTATATAAGAAAAGGTAGGAAGATGAGAAAGGTAAGAGCTGCTACTTTTGTTAGCAAGTCTAAATACTCACTTTGTTGATTCATACATCAGATATTTAAAAAAAAAAATCTCTGGCCAATAAGCCCTACTGGCAAGCACCTTACCACTGGCCACACCCACGGTCTAAATTTGTTATTTGTTATTCTTAGATGTCATGTACACACTCCACACAGACAACTATTCTCAAGAATGTAAGTTGGGTCATTGAACAATATTACTGATGGATGGGATAACAGAATACAGAGTGGAGTGGTATTTTCCTGGAAGCAGAAAGTAGAGGATATAGGAGATGAGATCCAAAGGGTACAAACTTCCAGGTTAAGACAAGTTCTGGGGAATTTAATGTACAACATGGTGATAATAGGGCTGGGGGTGTAGCAGAGTTCATGTCTATCATTTTTAAGGTCCTTTAGCATAATGCACAGAGGAGAGGATGAAAAAAAGGGAAGAGAATAAAGGAAAGGGAAGGGAAGAAAGGGGGTGGGACCAGACAGACAGACCCAGAGAAGGAAGAGAGGAAATTTGCAAAGAGAGTAAATCTTAAGGGTTCACACCACATACATAACTACGTGAGAGGATAGATATGTTTACTAGCTTGATTGCAGAGTCATAATGACTTTTAAATCATTGCACTGTACATCTTCAATACATATAATTTTGCCAGACATTTCCCAACTCAGACATTTGGGAAAGGATGCATTTATGAAAACTTCAATCAAAGGAACTCAATGTAGTGTTCTTCGCAGAATATTAAATGGAGGTAAAAGTTAAGAAAAACATCTAGTTGCTTACCTGAACCAACAAGTATTTTATTTGGAAGTAAAAATATTATATGTAAAACCACAACAACAACAAAAAAATCAACGAAGCTTCCAATAATATTTGACACTTCTATGATGCCGTAATGGTCACAAGAGTAACACCAGGTAAGTACTGTCTCTCTCATAGGAATGAACAATTTGACTCAGCCAACAGGACTCTTCCAATTTCAGGCTTCTCATTAACGCCCTAACCCCACTCTACCGCACTGCTCTTGCTCTGACAGGGTAGAAAAAAGAGGAGTTGTTTGTTTTGTTTTTTTACTATACTCCTAATACTTTTTAGTCATCCAACAATCGGTAACCTGATATTTTCAGTCATAACTGATAAAACTTCTAAAACCAAACTCATGAAGCAGTTTCTTAGTTTGTGTCTCAGGTACCTTACACACCTCAGGATGACTGCAGTACATACTATGTATCTGTAAGATTCCATGAGTCAAGATGTGTGCCAGTCACATAATAGCATATGATACTAGTGAGTGGACACAGCTTTAAATTTCTAAGTGTAAACTGTTAGGATTCAACATCTAAGAAAACTAGAGAAGGGCATCAGGAAGACTCCGTGAGGACGGGGCTATGGAGTAGATGCAGACTGCAGGGCCATGGGGAAGGAGCCCTAAGCCTGAAGGACAGGAGCACAGAGGGTTCAGGGCGAAAGCAGAGTGTATCGCAAGTCAGCAGTGTTCCAAGTTAGATCTAGTGAGCAGAGACATTCTTGAGAAAAAAGGATTTGATCCCCAGAACCTATGTGAAGGCAGAAGGGGAGAAATGACTCAAGAAAGTTGTTCTCTGGCTTTCACATGTGCACACCCCTCACATCATAATACACGCATTTTTTTAATTAAATAAATTAGAAAACTTAAATTTAAAAAATTTTTAAATTTTAATTAAAAAATGGAAAAATTAAGCTGGGAGGTGACAGTGCACACCTTTAAAACAAACCAACCAACAAACAAAACAAAAAACAGGCTGAAGAAAATCAAACTATCATCAAAACACTATACAAATAGAAAGAAGTCTAAAAGCACAATATGCTCAAATTCTGTTCTCCAAATTTTAAGCTTCCAGACTTAAATTTCATGACTTTCAATTTCCTTTTGAATTATTCTGACATAACTTGAATTTCCTTTATACAAGGTTCTCACTCCCTAACGCGCTTACACTGTTTACTCTTTATTTCCTTAGACTTAACTAACAGCCAGCCGAAGCAGCAGACGCGAGGTGCTCAGTTACTAAGGGAGTAGACACTCACTGCATTCTGAAATGAGATGTGGACAAGAGACTACTTTCCTTAGACAAAGTGCAGTTCTGCCCTGGTTTCCTCCCACAGACTAGACTTACTTCTTAATCGTGAGCTCCTGCTGCAAGTACTTGCCATGCATACACTTCTCAAACAGGGCTAAGGCGTGCTCGCCTTTATTCACTCCATTTGGTACTTGGTGTTCCTCTGCAAACTCTGCAGACAAGAGCTCAGATTCGATTTCTCCCAACAAATCATCTGATGCTGAAACAGTCTTTATCTGAGAAATGAGTTTCCTGGTGCAGTCTGTGTCGTAGAGGCTTGCTGAGGACGTCTTTGGGTCACTGGCTTCTGTAGATGCAGAGGACCTCAACTCCGCCAGTATCTGTGTCACCGTCTGTTCTGGGTCACTTGGTTTTGACACTTGTTTTGCAAAGTCCCCAGCAGGAAAGTTATCTACTTGTTCAGAGTTTTCTGAGTATGGGTCTGTTTTAACATAAGAATTCTCACCACCACCACAGTCTGAAATAAGGTTTTCTTGTTCAATTTGACAACTGTGTTCATTAGGTTGACATAAAATTTTGTCAGAGTTCAATGACAATAGTTCAGATTCAGTTTCTAATTTGTTGCTTTCATCACCAGAAAATGGGTTGCACGAGTCTTCTTTTAACTCAGGTGTTTCCCCAGTATTTGCATCAGAAGAAATGGAGGCCATGTGCTCTGTCTCTGACATGCTGACTGGCACCAATTCACTTTGCATTTCTTCAATTCTGCTCCTGATCTTCATTTACATCTAAGGAATCAAATGAATTTAAAAGATTAAACTAAGAGCCTTTACATCTCTGCACACACTCTATGACCATAAAGTGTACCACTCATAATTCCATTAATAAGAGCCTTCCCTAGAGGAAAAAAGAGGATAGCCAACCCAAAGTGGACACAGCCAGTAGGCCCGCTGCCGTCTCTCAGTATTTCCTCTCTTGGGCCAGCCAGCCTTACTAGTTAGTTCTGGTTTGCAGCTGCAGGTGTGCAGAGTAACTGGAAGACCAGTAAGGAGGAGTGCTCGTCAGTGTTGTGGGCAGAAGCTGCTACTGGAGCCCTGGAAGGGTGTGGGCAGGAGGACAGCAATGCAATGGGGGCACTAGACGAGCAATCTCAGAGCAAGACAGCACACAGTGCACGTGAGTGAAGATGACACAAAATCACCAAGGAGACGTAAAAGTAACAAGACAGCTTAAGCTCAGAGACCTTGCTGGGAACTGACCCTTGACAGGAAGCAGCTTTTCTCCTCGGTAGGGACCTGGGAACCCAGTTCCACTGTTGATTTCAAAGCATCTTCCTTAGCGAAAATCAAACAGAGCTTATATCTATTGTCTAGGTCAGCAAGAGCAACACTTTGACTAGATGAGAATACCTTTTTATATTATTTACAAAGGTTCCTTCTCTATGGAAAATCAGTCAACTTCAAAAATTATCCTGAAATATAGAATATAAAATCTTTTACCAGGGGCTGGAGAGATGGTACAGCAGTTAAGAGTGCATACTGATCTTGCAAAGGACTCAAGTTCAGTTCCCAGCACCCATGTTGGGCAGCTCACAACTGCCTGTACCTATAGCTCCAGGGGATCCAATACCCTAAGCTTGATCCTCTGGCACTGTACTCATATGCACAACCCTTAACCCCAACACACAGACACACATAATTAAAAATAAAAACTTTTTTTTTTTTTTTTGGTTTTTCAAGATAGGGTTTCTCTGTGTAGTTTTGGTGCCTGTCCTGGATCTCGCTCTGTAGACCAGGCTGGCCTCGAACACAGAGAGATCCGCCTGGCTCTGCCTCCCGAGTGCTGGGATTAAAGGTGTGCACCACCACCACCCGGCAAAAATAAAAACTTTTAATTAAAAAAAATCCTACTGGTCTTGATGAAAAGAATTGTCAGTGTCTCTGGTATGTTTCAACAGTGCACAGACAGATAAGTTACCAAAGACGAGACTATACTGCAACTGGGCAGATGAGAAACTACAATGAAGTAATTCCAATACGAAGTATGCATGTGGAAAATAAAGCAAAGATTAAATTGTAGAACAGAAAAATGTGTGCTCACATCAAACTTTGAGAAGGGTGATGATTAGAGGACACTGGAACCAGGAAGAGAAGATTGGCCACACAGAACCCTCAGAACACTAAGCAGGAGTGAATTTTGTTAAGGATGAATTATAATAAATGCTAAGACTTGTACAACATTTGATTCTACTGTATGATTTCCAGCACCCAGTGAACTCTCAAATACTTGCTGACCTAAGACCTGCAAAAAATAAAGCTAGTGCTTGAAGAACATTATTCTAAATGTAGAAAGGAGTCACTATATTAAGAAAAGCCACCCTGTCTGTCCAATTCTGTTCCTTTGGATCACCTGTGGAGACAACAATTACTACAGCCACTGATCTCAGGCTCCCAATCACTTCACTATGCTTCATCTACCTCCCAATGACACAAATGAACACTATCGTGCTGTAGATGTTTCATAAGCAAGCCCAAGCCCATATTGACATTAAAGACTAGACTGGACAAATAAATACAGTGAACACATAAGAATCTTGGTAACTTATTCTAAAAATCTTAGAATAAAAAAATGAATCTCAGACATGTTTACCAGTCTCAAAGCACCTTACAGACTAGCTCACTCAAAGTAACTTTCTTTAAAGATATAACACATGATATGATATACAATAAATGTAAGATATAATTCGCTACTGCTGACTTTAAAATCTTACACTGTAAAACTGCAGTGGTTTTAAACTTCATAACTAGTTAGCGCTCTACCAACAGAAGCTGAACTCACAGCAGACAAGGAATCCCTTTAAGAGAGAACAGATGATAAAGGCATTGTGACTCCCCAGCATTCCGTTAAGAACGAACAAATTTTATCAACTTTAAGGCTCTTATTTGTCTTTCATGATTTGTCAACAGAAAAACACATTCCTTTATTTAGCATCCTTGGTCTCCAGGGCTCACTCAACTCTTTCTCCCTTCTTAGCACTTATTCAGTTAGCTAAGTTGAAGCAGTAGCCCACAGCTGATGCTGAAATGAGTTTCCAGCCCTGCACCCCGAGTCACAGACACGGTGTTACCCCTCTTCTTCACACTATGCCTGTGCATATTAAGGTCTACTGCACACAGTCATTCCTACTGGAGCATTCTCCAGTCTAAACAAAGTGGCCAAACCGAAATTCTACTATAGTACCTGTACTAGGGGACCTTCCTGCCGATGGCTTCTCATACGCAATCATCCTTTTCTCCTTGGCTTTCCTCGTCTCTTTAACAATCTGTTCTGCTTTTCTGTCACTGCCCCCTCCGTGCAACCCAGCCCAGGCTTCATCTCACACCCGGAACATTTGCTTTCTCAACCTCCTTCAATCTCTCTTCCTGTAACTTTGAGACAAAGAGCAAAGAAGTTAATAGAAGGGCAGATTATTTGGGACAGTCACAGGGGTGGAGACAGGGTTCCTAAGGGAAGTGACGAATGATCAAATTCAGAGAAGCGATGATGTATGTAGTACACTGACTGTCAAAAAGGACCAGGAACCACTTGTGAAGCGAGCCTTCCATGATTAAAAAGGATCTGCAGCACTCTTGCTATCCTTTCTACACTTAGCACTTCTTCAGATGGTAATCACACACAGTCAGCTGAAGAGATGTACTGGGACCCTCCTCTTCCCTCTTTACAGTTTCAGTTAATGAAGTTCTGTCTCCACCCTAAAGAGGCTAGCAAAAGAAAACACAGAAAACCTGTCTTCTTGGAGTAGGATTAGACAGACACCACTGAGTCGAACAGTTAGGGACTGACAGCTTCAGTTTTTCTTCAGGGAGAATACGTTTGTGATTTTTTTTAACTGTCATTTTGTTTTTTAAATGAAATCACTGAGAGTCCTCACTCAGTAAAGCAGTCATATTAGTTTCCAAACATGATCTCTGGCCATATTCAGAAAATCCTGCTGTTCTACTGTAGTGTCATATTCCACCACGACACTCATGGTCCTCATCTTGCACACCCACATTTCCATGGATTTGCCCTCATCTAAAATGTTCTTCCTTTCAGTCTACCTAGAGACTGATTGTGCCTAAGGACTGATTCAAACGCCATATCTTTCTCTAGTTTCCTATTACAATAAGCACAAAAACAATCTCCAGTAAACTGAAACCACACTTCGTCTACACTCATCGACAGACACAGCCTTTCGTGACCCTTTTGAAGGAGGCCACCTTTTAAATGAGCGCAGTTCTTGCAACAAGGAAATTTACTCTAAACTGAGACTTCTGTAATATCGAACAGTAATAGCAATAAACAGATAAACCTAACAAATAAACTCTGTATGACATTTACTGCCATTTTTACAAATTCTGTTCAGTTCTTCTCAATAGTATCAGGACCTGGCTTTGTGAAATGATCTGGGGTGGAACAGTCTTTAGTGGGCTTTAGTAAGGAGACTTCTAGTGTACAAGACAGTGCAGAACAATGGAAAATGTATCACACATTCTACAGGAGCTTCATCTAGGTAACAGCAAAAATAAATAAATAAATAAAAATAACCTGTTTACCCAAGCTTACAATTTGCTCACATATTCTATCAATTAAAAACTAAACTTAAAGACAGGAATTTACATACTGTCTCTCAAATTGTGACCTGTGAAAAAGTCATTATACAAATTGGCATTTGATACCCATTAAAACTATGCAGATTTAGTTTGCTGAGACCCCAGTGAATACTGACTGGTGACCAGAGGAAAAGGATATGTTAAGGAGGATCTATGCTTTGCACATAACAATGCCAATGCTGAGGAGTACATAAGAACTGCTGAAGACAGAAACCAATCAACCCTATGATAAGCTGATCTGTCTACCATTAACTAGGGAGCAGGGAGAGTCAGCTGAGTTCCTCTACAGGCGTCCCCAATTAGCAATGCTGATGTAGAACTATTTGGATGTTGTCCAAGTTTTTTCTTTTTAGAAGAAATGCTGTCATCAAAATTATCAAAGATTGAATAGTCTACCAGTAGTCTACAAAAGGGGAGGATGGTAAAACTAAATTGATTACAAGACTCTTCTAAGTGCTGGGCAAACTAAATTCATATTCACAAATATATAAAGTATGGTTATTGATTACAATGTGCATTGCTATTCTGAAGTAAAAAAGAAGCTATTTTGACTTTGTAATAATAACAGTTACTCATGAAGGAAAGTATAACACAATCACAAAATCCCTCTTAATTCTCTTGCTGTCTCCACAGCTCTTCCTGTTTCTGACACAGTAGGATAGGACCAGCTCACACTTAAGCCTGTTGCAGTGGGAACTGGCTTCTGAGTAGAGCACATCAGCTGTAGGCAATCTATCACAAGGCTCAATGCTAAGCACTACTCCAACTCCTCTCTTATACCTTAGGGAGCACACTCTTATTTCTAGAAAGTTATTCCACACAAAACTATATAAGTGAAAACACTAATAGTTTTCAGTTCTTTTTCCAGTTTCCCACTAGTTAGTACTTCATGAACAAAAAAATCATAGGCTGGTTCACTAAACTGTAAATAGAAATGAATTCCATTTATAGATAATTGGTAACAGGTCATCAAACAAGCCTCATGCAAAGGTACTAGGTCAAAAATTTCTAAAGAGCTCATCTGCAAAAAAATACATGGTGCAGCTTTTCCATATGAACACTGTTCTAGGTGTTGGAACATAGTGCAGAATAAAACAGGCACACTCAGGTGCAGACCTGAGGTATAATGGACTAATACAGAGACTGTTAAATCTCATTTGTTTTGCTACTGTAAAATGCTGAAACACTACAGATCAGTATTCACAGTATCATTACAGTATTTTAAAGTCTACCAGCATTTCACAAGATTTTATATATATATATATATACACACACATATATATGAGCTTGTTTTAAATCCAGTTGAAAATCTTAGTTCAGCATACCTTTTACAATTTTTAAATTATGCGCCACTCCACTCCCCAAGAATACTAACTCCATACTTCTCAAGTTACTATGCATTAATATATACAAACTAGGCCTGTGAGCTCATTTCCATTCTTCAATAAAATGGTTTCCTGTCCTTTGTAACAAAGTGTAAATATTTCAAGAAATTTTTGCACATTTCCCACATACAGTTTGAAAGAAGCATAAATAAAAAACCTTTCTGGTTAGTTCTAATAAGATTCTAGTACGACAATTCAAGTCAAAAGTAAAAATCAAATTTAAAAGCATCCAATCATTATCTCCTCATAATCCCTAAACAGTAAATTTTAATATGCATTAACTTTGACACACTTTCCTAGATTAAGCTTTTAAATTAAAATAACAACAGAACAGAACAGAACAGAAGAGAACCTGTGGAAGGAACATTAAGTCATGCTTCCCTGATGAAAACAGCTGCTGACACTGAGGTTTCATAGAAGGTAAATTTATGCAGATTAATTTTTACTTCTAAGAGATGAAAGCTGGGGCAATTGTGTCAAAGAATTCTAGAATGGTCCGGCAAGAAGGAAGACTTTTCAGATACAGCAATCAAATATGGATTAGTTTTAAAGTACAGAGTTTCAACTTCAGTTCTTTATCCATTATACAAATGAAACAATGGTGACAGGTTTGCTTCTTTTTGATCTTTTCATATTTAATCTTCAGCGAGATATTGGGTAGTTTATACATTCTGCAGTACTAACACCTCCTGTCTTTGTAACAGGCAATCATAGTTTTGGTACTTTAAGATCTATGCATTTTTATATAACTCTAAAATGGTTTTTAAAATATTAAGGCAGAAAATTGATTTAGCTTTTTTTTTTTTTTTTTTTTTTTTGGTTTTTCGAGACAGGGTTTCTCTGTGTAGCTTTGCGCCTTTCCTGGATCTCGCGCTGTAGACCAGGCTGGCCTCGAACTCACAGAGATCCGCCTGGCTCTGCCTCCCGAGTGCTGGGATTAAAGGCGTGCGCCACCACCGCCCGGCTGATTTAGAATTCTTAATTTGAAGCTATTTGTATAAAACCCATCAACTGCAATAAAGTCTAAGAAAACATAAGTATTTTTATCTCCTTGTTCTTAAAAATCTGAAAACTGAATATAAAAAATTTGACCTCAAGTAAAACAGGGATTTGTAAGTTTTCTTTAAGGAGTTGGACTGAGGCCTAAATTTAATTTGTCAAGATGTAGTATATTAAAGACAACAACTATTTATTAGCACTTACCACCTAATCTTACAGTGAAGGCTCAGCTCGCTCAACTCATCAGAAAAGCATTAAGAAACGCATTCCTAACACAGTCAGTAGTGTGCTGGGTTGCGTCAGCTCTCGGTGTCTAAGGCCCCCTACCCTGATATTTTACTTCTTAGAGCAAAGAAAACCTCGTTCACAGAGTTGAAGTAAGTTTGAAATGGTTTAAGATTACAGCATCATTTGTAGGTCTAAATTATCTATCCTATTGCTGTCTCTAAAATAACTTCTAAATAGAACAACTAAACATTGTAAGCCAAGTGATGTTTGTGAGTTTAGGAGAAAGTCAAAGCTTGGCCTTAGTCAGTTAAGACAAGAAGTAGAAGAAAAACCTTAGTTTTTACTAAAAGGAAAACAAGCAGACCAGAATTTGGGGTTAAATATTCTTTCTTTTTTTTTTTTTTTTTTTTTTTTTTGGTTTTTCGAGACAGGGTCTCTCTGTGTAGCTTTGCGCCTTTCCTGGAACTCACTCGGTAGTCCAGGCTGGCCTCGAACTCACAGAGATCCGCCTGGCTCTGCCTCCCGAGTGCTGGGATTAAAGGCGTGCGCCACCACCGCCCGGCTAAATATTCTTTCTTACAGTGAGTCAGATAGCTTTTGTAAACTAGGGTAGAATACTACTCTCCTTCAACTGGAAAGACAGTTTTCTAAATTTGGCTCTTTGTGCTTCCAACCATCACAGCTTCCTTGAAGTGCTGAGTGGAGTCTGCTGTTACTGCAGTCACCATGGCCATAAACGACTTTCAGAACTGGGTATACTAAGCAATCAGCAGCTCTGCTTGCCTCACTGAGGAGTATGAAAGGATAATTCTTTAGCTCGTGGGTGAAGGAACTAAATGTTTAGAGTGGTCACTGCACCACCACACAGCCTTTCAGTCAGCAAAGGTAAGAATGAAATGTCAATCATACATCATGGAACCTCTGTTTTAAAAAAACAAAAAAACTTAAGTTTCTATTATTCTGAATTAGAACAGGCCTTAAAACACACACACACACACACACACACACACACACACACACACACACACACACACAAGTCCACGCATCTTCTGGAAGTCTTCCAAAGTTCTACTTACCTATTTCACTGTACAAAGGAGGAATCATTGATGCAATACTACAAGATTTATGGCCTACCCAAAATCTTCACTGAATTTAAAACATAAAAAGACCAAAAAGGAACAAAGAAAGATGTAGGCCAATCAACACTGTTGTTTTATTTGTGTGCTCATTAATAAGCAAAGAGCTGGAAAGTAGCTGCATAGACACGGAGCACTTTATACACAGACGCTTCAGTATCACTGTCTCTGGGTCCTGAATGCCCTCCACAAGATCAACACTACAGACAGACAGGTGAAGTTATAGTTCAGAAGGCCACATCCTCACTAAAAAACCTAAGCAACCTAGCAGACTGATGTTTCTTTGGGTGGCTGCAAATGTCCCTTTGAAACGCTAGCATCCCGATTTGCTTCATAGTTTCCTCAGACAGTCATCCTGGCTATCACTTCAGAAGAAACAAAAGGCCTGGCCATCCAAGGAACGTAACAGCGTCTGAGAAGTCTGCTTAGCTGGCATGTTTTTACTATATTCTTCTCTGACGCTCACAAATGGAAGCGGCAGGATTCGAACCCGGGTGTTCTGGATACTCAAGAAAAATCAAGACGTGACTATTTAACAAGTCACCAATTGCTGGCAGCTGAGCCACCGTAGTTCTACCTGCACTGTTTCCCGGGGGTTGCTCCTTTGAGACTACGTAGGAAGGGGGGAAATACGTTTGACAGGATTCCCTACCGAGGTGCACGCAGTGCACGGATAGCCGGGGAACGCGGCGTAGCGAACCGGGTCACTCACCACCCGCAGGAACCACCGTGTCTCAGTCCGTCGGGGACGGCGGGGCCGCCGGGGACCGCGTCCCGGAGACCCCGCGCAGGTGAGGCGGGGGAGCCCGCAGGGCCCCGCCAGCCCGCCGTCACCCCCACGCGCGCGGCCCACCCGGGGCTGGAACCACGCGGCCCGACGGCGCGCCGACGCCCGCCCGCCCGCCCGCCCCGGACGCCCCTCGGCCACTCACCGTCCGTCCCCAGCCCCGGGCCGCACCCTAACGAGGCCGATGGAGCTCCGGCTCCCGGGCCAGCGTCTCCATGGCCGGGTCCCGCCGACACGGAGTGGACGAGGACGTCACGCGTGGAGACCGCGGCCGATCGCTGGCTCTCAACCGAGGTTCCCCCTCAAAACCCCCGAGGAGCTGACACATCAACAAAGATGGCGGCGACGCCGAAGCCGGCGCGGCTACAGCTGAGGGGGCGGGACTCCCGGGAGGAGCCAATCAGCGCGGCGCGGACCGCGTGACGCTGAGCACCTGGGGTGGGCGTGGTTTTCGAAGCACCGCCTCCTGCCCCGCGGCTCCTGGAGACCTTGCCCAGCAACTCGCCCGCACCTTCACCTACGCCCCAAGGGGGCTGTGGCAGGCTGGCTTTCGTGCCCTCGTCCGGCCGGCTGGTCTGCTCTCGTCCTTTCCTCCCCAAGCCGGTGCCATCTTCCGTCCTCACCCTTTGGCCGGTCATCTAATGAGTCAGTGGTATAAAGTAATAAATGAGAATTTGAGATGTGGCTTCCCGGTTCTGACGGCGCAAACTTTGCACTGGACGTGGGTGGGCCAAGTCAGCAGGAGCAGCCTACCTGTGCAGGCGAGCATTCATCCTTGGGAGAGATCTCGGCAGCGTTTCCGTAACACCCTTGACTTGCAATCTTCAGTGACACTCGATGCCATCGTTTACCAATAAGCTGTTGATGCGTCCGTCTCCTTGCAAAGGACCCAGGCTCCTGGGCTAGGTATCCCAGCAGGTTCCATGGCTGCAAGAAGGGCGTTAATTATAGTGACCAGGCCCAGTTTGGGGGAGGGAAGGAAGGTGAGCAGTTTCAGTCTGGAGGTTCTGGAAACCGCCTCTATCCAGTAAAAAGATGTTTTAAAGTTTAGGGCCATGTAGACTTAAGTCGTGAGTGAAAATAATTAAGACTCGTCTTCAATGGCAATTTGAAAAGCAAAACTTACTCCTGTTAAACTACTTTCATAATTGCTGGGGAGGAAAAAAATGCAATGCTAATGTCTTTTCGATAAGAAAATGACGCCTCCCTCCTTAAATGATGTTAATGTATTACTACACATTTTGCAATTAAGATGCCTATGACAGATTATGGGTTGAGTGGAGAGTAGTGGCTTACACCTGTTATCCAGACGCTTGGAAGGTGCAGGATGGAAACACTTTGAGCTTTACCTCCAGGAGACCCTGTCTCTAAATACATGCATGCATGCATGTATTTATGCATACATAGGAAAAGAAGGGTTTGACTTTAAAAACAAATTGGCCAAACATTGCTAGTAAGGTATGTTATTTAAAAAAAGGAGTGATGGGCTGGAGAGATGGCTCAGCCGTTAAAGGCTAGGCTCACAACCAAAAAAAGGAGTGATGAGCGGACACTGTTTCAGCATCTCTCACAGCTCCCCAAGGCATTGTTCACCATGCATCACTCTTTTGACAGTGTTCCCACAGATGTCAGACAATTAAAATGTCACTTTGCCTCCATGGTCTTCTGAACAACTCACACTCTGTTCCTATCATGAGAACGCACCAGACAAACTTCATGATCATGGGGCATGCTCCCAAAAGGCTGATCAGTACTCCCAGTCAGGAGAAACTGCCGCAGCCTTGGAAAGATAACCAAATGTAATGTTGCATTCTGGCTCAGAAGATGGATAGTAGCGGACAGGAATTTAAGTAAATTGTGGACCTTAGTTAATGACAATAGTTCCTTAAAGGTGAAGACCTTATCCCACTAACATGTTCAGAGTAGGAGAAACTGTGTAACTCCATTGTGAGAACTCTCTTCCTTCCCTTCATTCTGTAAAGGTAAAACTAGTCTAAAACAATCTATTAAAAATGAAAAAGGAAATGTCAGGCATGGCAGCTGAATGAAAAATAAATAAAAACGGAAAGGCTTGACTGCTTCTAGGTATGGTGGAGAAGATTTTTTTTTTTTAAGAGATTTGAGGGAGAGCATCGGTAGAGGCAGAGACATCTAGGAGAGTCCAGAGAGAACATGACCCTGGTGGAGGGGAGAGCCAGGAGACCAGGAGAGTAAAGGGTAGACAAAAGACTGGGTAGCTAAAATGGTTGGATTATATAGGGAAGGACAGCTCAGCCCCTGGGCTGGAGAAGTTTAGGGTAGGGGGCAGGGTATGCCAGCCATACCCTTTAACAGGTAGGGACTGAGGGATGCTGGGAGAACCTGGAGGCCAGGTCCAATTTGGTATGTTAAATAGGTATCTCAGCCATTTGTTCTGAATTTGAGATCTAACAGTAGCCCATGCATTCCAGAGACAGAGTCATGGGGATATCTCTGAGTTCGTGGCCAGCCTGGTCAACATAGTAAGGGCCAGAGGCAGGTGGATCTGTGGTGAGTTCAGTGATGGCTCCGTCAACATAGCAAACAACAGGCCAGTCAGGGCTTCCATAGTGAGACACAGTCCAAAAAAAAAAAACCCAAAACAAAACAAGGGAACTGATTCCCAAAAGTTGTCCCCTGACTTCCACATATGTGCCATGGCACAAAATAAATGAAAATGTAAAAAGAATATAGACATAAATCTGGGCAATGCTTTTAAACACTCAAGAAGTGACTGGGATGAAAATGTAGACAAGCCAGGCAGCGGTGGTGGCGCACGCCTTTAATCCCAGCACTCGGGAGGCAGAGGCAGGCGGATCTCTGTGAGTTCAAGGCCAGCCTGGTCTACAGACCGAGTTCCAGGAAAAGGCGCAAAGCTACACAGAGAAACCCTGTCTCGAAAAACCAAAAAAAAACAAAAAACAAAAAAAGTAGACAAGATTGACAAATGAAAGTGGCCGACAGACACGTGGAGATGCCGTTCTTTTGAATTTGTTAGTAAAGTTTCACACACACACACACACACACACCCCAAAAGTCTCTCGAATTTGCCCCTGGTGCTCCCGCGACACCTTTCTAGAGAAAGCTAGAAAAGTCCCGCCCTCGCGAGCCTGCACGGCGCAAGCACCTGCTTCCCATCAGGGCAGCCTCGCAGCACCTGCAGCCCTGGCCGCGGGGGCGGGGCGGGCGCACGTGGGCGCGGACCGCGCAGGCGCGGGGGCCAGCCGCAGGCACGAGAGCGGCCTTGGGCGGCCCAGGCGAGGTGAGCGCGGGTGGAGCTCCTGGCTCTCGGGGTATGGCAAATGCCAGCACGACCAGGCTCCCGAGACAAGTCGGGGTCAGCGGCCCTTTCCGCTCTCTCCAGGTCAGGAGCCCGGGCACCAGGGCGCAGGAGCGCGGCGTCAAGGTGGCCTCGGGCTTGGGTCGTTGGGAGCCGGAAGTTGTGAGCTAGACGTTGAGGTCGGGCGTTAAGTCGGGCGTTGAGCGGGCACAGGACCTGCACATGGGAGAGCTTTGCCAATAGGTTTGGGTGTGGCTGGATCCTGACTGCGTTAGAGGGACCCAGTGCCCAGGAACTGGGGTGTGGGCAAGCAGGGGCCCTGTGCTCAGTTTGGAAACAAAGTGTCCAAAGCTGTTTGGTTTATTTGTTTTTCTTTTCACCCAAAGACCTGTGGATTCAGTACTTTGAAGTCACACTGGAGCGCTGTTTGCTTGTACTCCTTAGATCTTTCCTAAACCCTCTTGCCTCCTATAGCATCTGCAGGGTCACCAGGGTATAAGCCGGAGCACTCGTTAATGCATCCGCTGTGTGCCAATCGCTCTTCTTGGCACTTGGCTTTTCCAGGGCCCCAGCTGTAAATTAGTTTCCCCTGTTGAGCCTCTGGAGTTAAAGCAATCAGATGTCTTTGTTTCCCTGAAACGCAGGAACTGCAGAATTAGGTATCTGACCCGGATTCTGAAGTGGGTGCTGGGCCCGAGTCGGGTATGGTGGGTGGAGGGATGACAAGTTGGTTCAATTTACCAGTCACTTACATTTAGAAGTAAAGAAATATACTTTAACCCGGAAATTACTTCCATTTTAAACATGCAAATTCCCCTGGGTATAACGGTTTACCACTGAAATCCCAGCACTGAGGTCGAGGCACAAGGATGGCAAGTTCAAGGCCAGCAAACAAAGTCTTGCAAACTCCTTCCTCATGACACACAGAAAAGTTGGAGTGTGTATCTGTGATGGAGTGATTGCCGTTTGTGTGTGTCCCCGTCCGTCCGTGTCCTGAGTGAGTTATTTGCTGCTCTTTGCAGGGAGGAGAGTGTTGTAGAGCAGCCTCCATTGCCCTGGGTGGTTTACCTCCAGTCCCTTGTCCAATCCTCATGATTAGTGTTGAGGAAGTTGCTACGTCTGTCTGCGTTTTATAATCACTAAATCCTAGAAAGATGAAATGGTTTGAGCAAAATAGCATCGCTAAATGAGGAAGGTAGGGCTTGGATCTGATTTCAGAGCTCTTGCTCTTCTGAACCACTGAGTTTTGCAGCTCTAAAACAGCCTTTCCTTTTGCATAGAATGTCTCCTGAAATGCACAAGGCCACCAAGGAGGCAAGAGCCAGCTTGGAGGAGGAAAACTGTCTCAAGTCTAGGCTGGGGTGTTTGGGGCAGTGTTTGCTGGCATGCCAGACTGAGGGCATTCACAGCATAGATTATACATGGTGTATGTTAAGATGAGGACCACTGAGGCACTGGAAAGTATCAGAAATACCTTGGATTTCTGCATATTTGAATCTGAATTAGTGTTTTTGGATGTTGCATGTTCAGAAAACCTTTTCTGTGGATGCGTTGTTTTCATGGCTCCCAAATTCATTATCTCCTATTGTCAGGATTGTATTAAACTATATCTAATTTAAAACAATAGATAGAAGTTTAAGGATACAAAAGCATTTTTCTGCTGTTTGTTTGTTCAAAGCCACCTTAAGTGACATCTTGTTTCTGGCTTCTGCTCCCTTTGGAGGTTTTGGAAGAATAGGCAGTTTCACCTGCATGGTACATGTCACTGCCAAGAAGAAGAGTTGTGGTTCTGCTGCAGGGGCTTCCCTCCAGGCAGTGAGTGCAGTCGGCGTCCTTAGGGTGACAGAAAAACCTCGAGCCAGCAGTGTACGGGCAGGTGTGCCTCCCAGGCCCTTGCAGCCACTGCAGCATGGAAAACTTGCAGCAAGTCACTCATTTTCAGAGGAAGCTACACACATAGGTCCTTAAAGAAATACATTTTTATTTTCAGCTTATGAAGCTCAGCTGGAGATTGTCAAAGCAGAATGCTTGAGGAAATCAGAGAAA